AAATGAATATCCATATGATTTACCAGAATTTTATTTATCCCAAGCCATCATGTGGATATTTAGACACAACTATCATACTACACGCATTCATCATTTATTAGATGATTTTCTAGTGATTAATGCTACGGAAGAAGAAGGGTCGGGAACAATGAATTCAGTATTAAAAAAGAAGAAGAAGAAGGGTATCATGGCGCTGCTGACAACAGGTTTTCGCCGACTAGGCATTCCGTTATCTCCTTCGAAAATCATCCGGCCTTCCTCATCTGTTGAATACATAGGAATCGCATTGAACGCGGTAGCTTTTGAAACTAGCCTTCCTCCAGAGAAAGTTTCGAGGATGTTATCGATTATTGGTCGATACGTTAACAAGAGTAAAATTACAAAAAGACAACATTGAAACGACATGCTACAAGTGAACTTGAAAGGTTTGACGAGCAGAATGAAAATTTTAACGATAATGAACAATGACAAATACAAATTAACAACGAGCAACGGAAAAAAGGGAATTATAATCATGATAAAGACGATCGTCAATTTTCAAAAGAAATTGTTATACCTCGCCTTAGGGTTCACCAGAGCAGTGCAGAAGTCTTCACCCGCACTCCCTGTCTGTGCAGGAGAAAAGGTTTTTTTTTCTAACCTGCAAACTGCAGTACGGATACATTTTATTTTGCCAATATATTTTGAGTCAAAAAATTATGCAAGTAATCAGCTCTGGACTGGATCAAGAATTGTTGACTAGAGTATCAGATTATATTATTTTATTCAGTTTTAGCAGAACCATCAACGGTCGTATAGAATAATTGAAATATTTTTCTAAACGTCTAGGAAATAATGAAGTAAAAGTTGTTTGTCTATTCTGCCTTATATTGCGAAATTATAATACAAAGACAAAAATCAGACGAGATATATGTCATGATTATAATCAATCTCATAAAAATCTTCATTAAATACATAACATTCTGTCAATTCTAGTCTTTAGTACAGCGATAATTGATTAATACTAGTTGTGTCGGAATAGTTAGAATATAAGTAGGATGCATGAAAACGACACAATCTCAAGGTATTATTTATGTAGGTGTATCAAAATACTCCATGTGACAATGTTGATTATCAGAAAATTATTTGAATGTAATTTTATTTCGTAATCAGCATCCTAGAATTAACAGACTAATGGATATTTCAGCTAAACTTCGGAGGGGCACCAAAAAACATTTTCTTGTATGATAGACCCTAGTTTGTTCCACGCGTTTTTATGTAAGCAATAGCGAATTCGGTTAGTAGGGAAAGGTGAAGATCCTCTACCTGATGGAAAAGCTACTCAGTTCGAACGGTTGATGACCAAAAAAAGATAACTGTTGTAGATAATAATCTAATGATACATAGATGTACAAGCCTTATGTGGCGGCCACAAAAATGCGAGATCTATCCAATAACTCATTGATTGTAATATCTTCAATTTGTTAAACTTCTCTCAACATTTCATTTCATGTTTTAGTAATGAGACGAGCTGTAGATTATCATAAACGATTGACTCACTTTTCTTCATCATGCGCGCACATACACACACATACACAATGAAATAAAATTTTAAAAGACGTAACAAAAAATTATCAACACACAAATAAAATAATTATTCAAAAGTAGAACAGAATAATATCTTCTTTTTTTTTCTTGTAATATTTGACGCTTGTAGAAAATACACTATATAAAATACACTTATATCATTTTCCTGTTAATATAATAACATATATATGCAATATTGCCGCGATTAATACGTCGTGCAAAATAATAAATACAATCTGATCACAGATAGAATTTTAATTTATAAATAATGACGATCAATTGTTCAATTTACACGGACGTCGAACGAGAAACACAAATGAAGAATTTTGGAACAATGTTAAAAGAATTAAGAATAACTCAAACAATATTTGACGATGAAAACAAGAAACATAAACACAATATTAAACAAAATGTCAACCATGATCATTATGTGTTTTAACTAATCCAAATCGTTTTCCAATCGCTCGAAATTTTGATATTATCTCATCTTGCATTAATTTAAAACTCATGGCCATTACAATCATACCAAAGAGTAAAAATATCGAACACATTGCCGCTTTACCAGCTTTATTCTCATTTAACGTTCCTTTACCCGGTACCTAAATAGAAATATAATAAAAACATAATTCTTCTGTCATATGAAGAATTACGATATTCTTTTTTAACTGACCAAATCTCCAAATCCAATTGTTGTAAATGTAATGAAACAAAAGTAAGCACCGTCTAGTACATGCCAACTTTCCCACTGTGCAAACAATAATGCTCCCATTGCAATATACAGTGCCAATACGGCTAATGTGGCCACAATTGGAACATGACGTTTTTCTTCATCATCAGACTAAATTAAAAAATCTTATATTAAACAATTCTATTTTTAATTTAAATTCTATTGAAAGACATACGTCTGACTGCTCAAAACTTCGTCTTGAACTCAACGGTAATACTTTCTTTATTCTTCCACGACATAAACGTTTAATGATAAAATTAACTAGTTTTGAATATCCACTAATGAAAGCGTCAGCTAAAAGATCACCAGTATAGGTTAAACACATAAACATTAAAGGAATTCCAATCATTGCATAAATCTAAAGAATGAATGAAAGAACAGTTTATTTGTAAGTCGCGCTCCAAATTCAAGGTTACAGCACTATTTTTTCTTGTGGCTTAAATATACATTATTCGATGCAGAATTTAACGCGGATCACTAATATCTACTTGTTAGCCTTCCAAGTGCATGTTTTCCTTGAGGAAAATTCAAAAACTGAAATTCGCCGTTTTTTTCGAAAAATCTCTAATTTTTGAAAACGCCGTTATTTCGATCTGGTTCTGGAACCTTGAAAAAAAGCGTTTTTCTTGTTCAGCGTCGAAAACTGCATACAGAAAACTATATTTCAAGGTTCCAGTACGGGCTACGCAAAGTTAAAAGACGTCAATTTTCCTGACTCTCACTCGCAAGCCTATCTCCTTTTTTTCCTTAAAAGATGGAACCTAGAATTTTACGCCATTCGATCCATCTTGAAGCGTAGAGCAAAGATAGTTATTCTTTTTTCGAAGTTTTTTCTCCTTGCTAANTGGAACCTAGAATTTTACGCCATTCGATCCATCTTGAAGCGTAGAGCAAAGATAGTTATTCTTTTTTCGAAGTTTTTTCTCCTTGCTAAAAAAATTATGGAAATTTTCACCAAAAAATGAAAGTCAACTAAAAATTTCGAAATACACATCCGTCGATTCGTTTTTTGATCCTCATTCCGAATATGATATTTTTATTGCATAGAAGTTGAGTTATAATCCTATGTATAATATTTTTACCATAGTAGCAATTTTTCCTTCAGTTGTTTTTGGAGTGATATTTCCGTATCCTACAATAGAATAGAGTGTCATACTTTCATTGATATGACATAATATCTTCTTATATTTACCTATAGTGGTTATAACAGTTGCAGCATAAAGCATTGCTGATGAAAATGTCCACACTTGTATTGTATTCGATTGCTGATTTTGTTCATCAAGATATTGACTTTTTTCTTCAGCATGAAAATATTTTAACAATTCATCATCGACATGTTTTTTCCAAATATGTGGTTCAACATCAATTTGCCATCCATCATTCTTTTCATCATGTCTTGACCATCCTCCTATAATCAATATTTTTTTTTATAATTCTCTATGTAAATATAGATAACAATTACAATATGACCTCTCCATAACGCATATTTTAATTCAAACGTATTATTTAGTACACGATTAAATTCTCTATAAGCTAATGTATATAATTGTTCGACAAAACTTTGACGATGTAGTTCTTTTTCTTCTAAACGTTTTAGTTCATGGCGTGACTCGATAGCATCAAATATTAAACCGCCCAATATCACATAGCCAACAACAAGTCCCCCTTGTACAAAGAGAAAATAGGAATTCTAGCATTGATTATATATTTATATATATATATACATATATTACCTAATCCAAGTTGACTAAATGTTATTTTCGATACTACACGTAAACAATGTCGACATTTCTCTTTACGTGTAGCTTTTTCATTTGATATTTCATCATCGGTAATATTGACCCTATAGACTGGTCGTTTTGAACCATCAATAGTTTGTTTTGAATCCCCATCATGATACTTCTCCTTTGAAAATACTCCTGAAAGAGAAAACATTTTTCTTAAATGTGAATGATGATGTGTAACTGTTTAAATTTCAGATTTAGTGAAACATATGTTGAAAGACATCAAATCGTTTAATTTAATAAAAAGTTGTCTGATAGTGTCGAGAAAAATTTGTCTAGATAACTCAAAGCTTTTCTATTTATCGCTACTTTTTCTGCTGAAATTCTCGTTGCTGTCCGCACATCTGATGTCGGTTTCGTAACTTCTCAACTGAGATACAATTCATATTTTAATCAAGTATCTCTGTTGAGAAACTAATATTTGTTTCTCAACCGAGATACATTTTATAAAATATGGACTTCATGAATTTCTAAATATGGAAGTGAAAGATGGATTTGTACAGTTAATGCGTGTTCTTGTTCAGTTGTTTTAAAAAATGATAAAATAACGTGTGAAGTAGTATCCATGGACATGAAAATACACAACATTTGACCATGTAATGTGGGAGTAATTCCTCAGATAGTCAATAGACATACTTCATGTACCGAATTTCATTCATTCACTATTGCATAATAGATCTTAGTACACTGCACTCTTGCACAATAGCACGTTTCAACGCACGTGTCAAAATGGTATCTCAGTTGAGACACGAATATTTTTGCACAAATATTGGTTTCTCAGCTGAGATATTTGATTAAAATATGGATTGTATCTCAGTTGAGTCCAAACCGTCTGTTTGTGCTTTCACTGAGTTCGTGAATGAATCCTAAGAAGTCTGATCGACAGAGACTCATGGTCAAGAGGTTCTGATCTGGCTAGTGCAGAGCGCATTGAATTGCCTCTGTAGAAATGTTTTAAAACTATTAAACAAGTTTTAATTGAGTAAGGATAATGTTAATCTCAAGTACAGCTCAATATTGAACTTTTTTTTTAGAGTAAACTTTTTATAACTCAATTAAAACTTGTTTAATAGTTCTAAAACATATTTTACAAAGGCAATTTGCTGAGCTCTGCAAACTGGCCAGATCAAAATCTCTTAATTCTACTATTTATAATGGATCTCTATAGATCAGACTTCTAAAGATTCATTTAGAAAGTGAATTAGAACAAAAACGGTGATCAGCATAAAAAAC